TATATATATATATATATATATATATATATATATATACATACACATATATATATATATATATATATATATATATATATATATATATATATATATATATATATATATATATATATATAAGAAAGCATATTTACTCTTAATTGACTCTGAAATATACTAAAATATAAAATATATACTAAAATGAAATATATACTGAAATATATAAATAAATAATTATAATAAAGCAAGTGAGTCTTTAAGAGCTTTTCCAGTAGCTTCAATATTGACAGTATATCCCCATTTCAGAATTTCCTTAATTCTCCCACCAAAGTCAACCACACTTATACTGTCAAAGCTTCGTTACTTAACACACCTCATTCAGATTATCAGCTGGTTAACAGAGGGACCAGTGAACTGATCCATGTGTGTCAAATAAGAAAGGCATATAAAATGAGCTGGGGGGTGGTGGGGTGGAGGAGGACCAGAATTGGGAATCACTGATTTTACTGAGGAACCTAGCCATTTAATACTATTTTATACATTTGCATTAAAAGTATAAATGATGCTTAAAACTAGAAGAATGTATAGTTATGGCAATTGCACTTAACCATGTTGCAATATTGTTGTCTATTTTCCTATTTACAGTGTAGCCCAAATAGCTATTTTGTGACTAGCCAATCAGATTTGTGCTCGTCATTTAAAGAAATCTCCAGCCATTTCTCTCTGTGTGTGTGTGTGTGTGTTATGCATCAGACAATCTGTAGACGACCCATCAGAGAGTAAATCTACCATGGCATGTTTAAAATTAGTCTCTCAATTAAGACTTTAAATTTGACTTGAATTGCACCTCATAGCAGATCTCTTTAACAGCCTGTGTGCGCAGCTCCTCGACGCTGAGTCTTTGTTTGGACTCCTGGGTGGCGGGTATGCGGCGGCGCTGGGGGATCTGATACACACGCAGCGGCTCTCTCCGCTTCCCGCTGCTGGGCAAACCGCACTTCTTCACGATCGACTGCATCTGCAAACATTGCACAAGAACAGAATGACTTCCTGAGCAGCGTCAGAAATAAACAGTCTATCCAATATCCTAAGCGGATCAGAATTAAAGTCTCAAAATGAACTTTTATAGGGGCCGTTTGATGCTTTGTTCTTTTTGCATGTAGGAAATATCAGACCAATCTCATGAGAAAACGTAACTATTTTACGTATTGTCAAAAAAAAGAGGCTAATTTAAAAAAATTCATACAACTTGAGAACGTATGATTTTAAAGAGATGGCAGGGCCCCTTATAGCCCCAAACCCCAACCCTATAACTACCCCTTACTGAGGAATGAGCAAATCAAAATAAAATGTACCAATGAGATTGTACAAATGAATACGAAGCTAAACATTTTTTTTTTATTAAAGTTACGAATTGCATTGAGATAGTGTTGGAAATATGCAAGATTAAAGAGCTGATAGTCTTCCCTAAGATGAATTTAATATTTTTATATAGAGATTTAAAGCCTAAAACACATCAAGACTAGTTTGCCATTAATATTTCAAGATTTGAAAAATTAGCATAACGTTTTGCAAATAAAGGTGTTTGTGTTCACAATAACTTTAAGCCTAAAATAAATATTATGGTTCATAGTGATTATAGTAAGGGGTTTGGCCAATCACAACTCACAGGGTCAGCTGGCCAATCAGAGAACACTAAGCGTGAAGGCGTGGCTTTTTCTTTTTTTTTTTTATAGAAACCACACAACTTAATCTGAGCATTTCAGACAGACTGTGATCAGAGGTGCTGCAACAATGTACAGTATGCGGAAAACATTTAAGGGAGTTAGTGTTAGGGCCTATTCTAGTACACACAATAAAATAAAATATGGATCACATGGCCATTTTAAAACAATTTTAAGTCTGTATCTATATATATCTAATTTATAGCCCTCCTGAGTTATTAGCCCCCGTTTATTTCCTTCCCCAATTTCTGTTAAACAAAGAGAAGAATTTTTCAACACATTGCTAAACATGATAGTTTTAATAACTCATTTCTAATAACTGATTTATTTTATCTGCCATGATGACAGTAAATAATATTTGACTAGATATTCTTCAAGACACTTCTAATCAGCTTAAAGTGACATTTAAAGGCTTAACTAGGTTAATTAGGTTAACTAGGTTTGGGTAATTAGGCAAGTTATTGTATAATGATGGTTTGTTCTGTAGACTATCGGAAAAAAAATATAGCTTAAAGGGGCTGATAATATTAACCTTAAATGGTTAAAAAAAATTTAAACTGCTTTTATTCTAGCCGAAATAAAACAAATAAGACTTTCTCCAGAAGAAAAAATATTATCAGACATACTGTGAAAATTTCCTTGCTCTGTTGCGCATTATGTGGGAAATATAAAAATAAAAATACAAAAATAAAAATCAAAGGGAGCTAATGATTCTGACTTCAACTTTGTGTATATATATAGGGGTATCAAAAAAAATTAGTTCTTTCTTCGGTGTACTGCGATACAGATGAGGACAATTCGGTATTGGTTCAGTAATAATCATAACCGGTTAATATGTACTGACAACATTTATCTCTTATGTGCTATGTTGCCATAGCTTACTATGGCGAGGGAGGCAAGCGCGAGAATTAACAACGCTCCAACTACTTAAAAAAATGCAGAAACTGTGCACAATTTCACTGCTTGTGGGTTTGCTGGACAGTCATTCACTGACATTCACAGCAGAAGCCACTATTTCACTGCGTTTGAGAAAATAAAATTAAACTCCATTTCTTTCTTTCTTTCTTTCTTTCTTTCTTTCTTTCTTTCTTTCTTTCTTTCTTTCTTTCTTTCTTTCTTTCTTTCTTTCTTTCTTTCTTTCTTTCTTTCTTTCTTTCTTTCTTTCTTTCTTTCTTTCTTTCTTTCTCTCACTGTTACCCAATTGACCTGCTTGCGTGACTTCTCCTCTCCTCATGACTATTACAGTGATACTTCTGGATACAGACACCAAATCAAAGGGGGGCTAATAATTCTGACTTCAACTGTAAATACATGTATATATATACACAGACACACACGCACACGCACACAAGCCAATCATTACAAGTCAGCACCTGGAGTGTAGAGTAGCTCATTATAAATGTGATTGTCTCTGTGTTGTGTGTTTAGTGACATAAGGACACAAACTGGCGTAACAATGACAAAGAGGACATTGCCCATTTTTCAAAAGGCTTATAATTAATACAGAAGTAGTTTTACAGAAGTAGGTTACTGTAAAGGGTAGGGTGACAAAAAACCGTTTATACAGTATAAAAACTATTACATCAATGAAACGTCCCTATTATATAAAAAAACTCTGTGTTTGAATGTGTGCATGTGTGTCTGACCTTGTTGGCAGGTAGTTTTTCTCTGAGAGAAGAGATGAGTCTCCAGCTCTCCTCACAGGATCTCTTATCAGAATCATCTCCGCTGTCTGAATCTGCATACTACACACAGACAGAAAAAGGCAGTGTTTACATATTAGCTTGGCGACAAAACCAAGACCAATCTGAAGCAATTCTGTACACCATGTTAATAATACTTTACATGCAAAGCACACTGGGTAATAAACTTATCATGTTAGCATGAAGTCATTGAAAATTGTTGCATAACAATGCGTCAAGAACCAATCTTTGGAATGAGGAGATCATATGTAGATCTGAATGCAAATCAGTTTTGTTTACAACTTGAAGGATCAGCCACTTTTTCTCATAGAAACACAAACTTACATTCTCATACACTTACATTCCTAACATTCTCAAAATAGGCTGAATCTGGAGAATTGATTATAAACTAGACTGAAATGTTGAAGTGGAATAAATCTACTTTTGCTCATGCTGAATCATTTAAATGAGAGACATAAATGCAAAAATGGCTTAAAAAAACTAGACTCTGCACACCGCCTATATTCCTATTAAAATCTCAGTGCTACGCAAGTATTTTACCATAGCAGATGCTAATAACAACTTATTTGTTCAAGCAAACAAAAACAACACCTTCTGGGGAATTTGTGGAAAGTATTAATAATAAAACAGAAGTTGGTTTTTATCTTATATTATTACAAGTTATGCCTGAAAGACAATCAGGCATTTCACAGCTCATTTTAATGCATACATTTTTGGATGCATTTAAAATGTTTAATGTTCATCTTGGCTTTTTATTAATGGATTTTATGCAATATACAAAAACATGCCTTAAAATACACATACAAATACTGTTTCTACTTACCAGCCTCTGTTGTTCCAGTATCTGGTCGGCCTCTTCCTTCTCTTTACGGTACTGATTCTCAAGGTCTTGTAGTCTGAGAAAGACAGAGCGGACATTAGCAAGAAAACACCTGATGGGGAAAATAAAAGGAGTTGAAAGCAGATTTATATGGATTCTTGCTGGTCTGGAAGGTTGATCAGGGGTGCGTTTTCCAAAACCACTGTTAGCCAACTAAGGTCACAAGCTTTGTCGTCACAAACATAGTTTGTTGATTTGCCGTTTCCCAAATTCATCGTTGCAACAAACATTCGCAAACTACGTTGCAAACTTACACCTCTGGAGCTGTAGAAACATAGTTCTTGGCTGTGTGCTATTCCCACTTATAACATTTAAATTTAAATTTATTTTATTTAAAATAAATAAAAGCATTAAGGTCATCTCTCTTAGATCTAATTTGCTTTCAAAGTATTTTTACAGTTCAGTTTTAGCGATCTTCATGTTTACAATTGTGCTCCCTTTGCAGTGCACTTTGAAAACATTGATGTCATTTTGAACACAGCCTCATGACGAAAGCTATAGGTGACCTATTATTTAAAAGTGGAATTTATGCTACGTCTCCAAAGCTTGTGAAAACAAAAACACAGCATACGTTCATGCTTTTAATTAATAGTAGGTTATTTATTAAGTATCTGTACTGTATATGACATGGGTCTGTTGGTTAGAACATTTCTGCAGTGGTTTACATGTGTCAAATTGTAAAAGTAGACTTTTCAAGAAATAAACAATAAATAAACTATATCCTACTTAATAATAATAATATTAATAATTAATATTATTAATATCATTTTTAAAGTAGGATTTTTTTATGTCCTAATAAATAATAAATATTAAATTTAATTTCTTCATAAATGATTTATATATGATGAAAATACGTGTTCGCTTTTGTAAGTGATTTTATGTTAATAAACTTGAAGTAATGAAGTAATATGTAATTTTCTCAATAATATTTGTAAAGCGAACACAGGCCCTATATGTGCTATTTACATATATTTCAATTATTATGGAAAGCAAATGCATGTTTTTCCAAAACTAATATTGGATTGTTTTTAAATGCGTGTGTGTGTAAAACAATATCATTTGCACAAAGAAATGATGGGGATCTTCTCTAAAGTAGTAGTTGTTACTCCACCCCGTTTAAAGCATCATTATGGGTGTTTTACGTTACAACTAAAGTGGTTCAAACGATGGATCTGCGACAGAGAAACTACGGGTTTTGGGAACTTATTCGTCACTACATCGTTCTTTTCCCAACCGATGCATCGTACTATGATAGTTCAGCCGCGAGTTACATCGTTGTTTGGGAAACGCACCCCAGATGCACTGTCCTCTAGTCTTGCTGATGTCTTAACTTATTTGATGAAAAACTTTTATTTTTTTCTATGGTTTCTTTTTTTTCCAGCTTGACTTTTTATTTTTAACTTTGGATGATTGTGCAACTAGTTGACTAGTAGTCAGTTGTGATGAATCAAGCTGATAAAAACTGTACTCTTCGGTTTGTTTATCATTGGCTAAGATCAAGAAATTCAACCCCTAAATGAAAAAATACATTTATTTTGGTCACGTGACATCATGAACCATTTTAAACAAAACGTTAAGTGAAGTTTAATTTTAAACTAATTTCGAGAGGAGCATGTGCTCATGGTTGACCCAGCTAGTCCACATTAGCTAATTATGATCCTCCAATCAAAGGATCCCAAATCACTATATATATCCTCCATTTCCTTTCTACAACTATCTTCGTCTGGAAGAAACCCCCCTCCTCCCCTTCTTCCTCCTTTATTCAGAATGGGCGGCACGGTGGCCCAGTGACTAGTACTGTTGCCTCACAGCAAGAATACCTATGGCGTTGGGTCCTCACTGAGCCATCTGGTATTTCTGTGTGGAGTTTGCATGTTCTCCCCGTGTCCGCATGGGTTTCCCCTGGGTTCCCCTGGGTTCCTACCACCATCCAAATGTGCTCTATATTATAAATAAAATAAGCCTAAACCTTTTTTATAATGTCTTACTCTCAGGAAGTTCACCTTGGCCTCAGCAGTGGGGGAGTTTGAGATAGACCTGAGCTCAATCTCCACTCGCCCTGCAAAAGGGGGGGGAGCCCTGGGCTCGAGGCAAACAAGCCATGTATAAATCATGAGCTAAGTGTGAACTCTTGAAATGCATTTGCATGCCCATCTAGCAGATGCAAGTGTTGGAAATGTCACAACTGTAACTGGTAGTATTAAAATTGTTAATAATTAAAATCAACTGAAAGCGAAGGTGTGTAAACTTGCTAACTGTCATTCAAAAAACTGCAGAAAACTTGTTTAAAAATGTTTAATCCACTTCAAATCTTGGTTGTTACTGTACATTCAGAAGTTTATTCATGTTTACTTTGTGCTACATCAGCTGACACGTATTAATAACTCAAGTTAGTGGGTTCACCTCTTCTCCATCTCCTGCTTTATATCGATGCCTTGTTTCTCCAGCAGCTCTTTCTGTGCATAGCTCCAGTCCACCGGCTCCCCCTGCTGCTCCTGTGTGGCGCTGCGCTCTCTCTCTAATCGGGCCTGCTCAGGGTGGTTAAACCTGAACACATGGTTCTTCCCCATCACTATACGGTTACCTACACAAGCACAGGACATGATTAATCAAGATATAAAGTATGCTGGGAATGTCATACAAACAGACTACTACTGCAGTACACACAACTGCCAGTATCTTATTCGGAATGAACTGCAGGCTAAGTTTCATATAAAAGCACTGTTGAAATAACAGCGAGCGGAATGTTGTGCTGTAGTAATTATCACTTACTTTCAATTGTGAACAGGTATAAAAATACATTGAAACCTGCACTGAAGTACTCGCCTTGTTTGAGCACAACACCTTCAGTGACCTGTTTGCCATTGACATACGTCTCCGCTCCAACTAACGGCTCCAAAGTTACCACCACTGCAGGAAAACACACACAACTTAAAAAAATATGAAAGAAAAGGCTTTGTCTTTGTAATAACCAGACACCACTTGCTGAGGTAGACCAATAGACATATAAGAAACAAGTGGGTATATGTCTAAATGTAAATCAGTCTATGAAATGGATGCTGTGACTGTTCTCACCCTCATTATTCTCATTGATTTCACTACAGAAGACGCAGTGCAGCTCCTTTATGAACTGACCACTGAGGCGAATATCCACATCCTCTTGACCAACCCTGTAACACACAGACACAAGATGAGACACAATAAACAGAAACGTAGAACCAGTCCTGCAGGCTTGCACTGCTCACCTGGTGACTCCATCTTTAATATAGTAGATCAGACACTCAGACATCAGAGGATCCTCGTTCAGGTTCACCAGGTGAGGTGTCTGGGGAGAAAACACAAGCTCAAACACCTGGACACATTTCTGGATCTAATAAAAAGTACTGAAATTGTGCATTTATTTTGTGCACAGGTTGTCATTAGATTTTTTAGAGAATTCTTTTTTATTTATATTGTATAAAAAGTTTTGCATTAAGTATAAAATTTAAGATTATATTAAATGTAGGGCTGGCCGATAAAATCGGTAATGATATTTTTTGACCGAACACTATTGTCAATATTGATTTTAAAATATTAATAAAAAGATTTGGTGTGTAGTTTTGGTATGAATGCTACAGTTTCATTAAAATGTGGCTGCTGAGCGTGCACCTTGGAAGCAACGCAAATAAGTTTAGGGTGTAAGTTTGTCCTTTTGAATGGAGGCATGCAACATGCACGATGTGCAAAATGTAGCGACATCCACATGATATGCAAGTGGCGCACAAGTGACAGTGCACGCATTTTCCAGGTGCACCAAGTTGAAAACATCTGAACTTTTCCGAATGCTGCGTGCGCACCGATATTCATGCAAGTAGATCTAACCAATCTGCTTTACACTTTATATGGAATATACACATTTCAGTAATAACGCCAGACTAATTAGCTCAGACAAACACAGCACACCCAAACACTGCAGTGCTTTTTACTTTTCTCCATAAACTTGCATCAGAGCTGCAGCAATGGTTTCTCCGTTTGTCATCCTCTGAGAAAAAGGTTGATGGTCACCTATTTACGAATGACGCCAGGGGTGTGCGATCGCAAACTTATTGAAAAATGGTGAAGAAAATCATGCGCTCGATCTTGTCACTCCCGGTCAGAAAAACAACACACGCAAAAATGAGTGCCGTATATCAGCAGTGAGAAGATTGTAAATAATAAATATGTAAGGATGTTGCCAGAGTGGCTGTTTGGTTTCTTTTCTTGTGCATCCCAGCCACTAGCTACCCATCTGAAAGAGTTTTTAGCATAGGGGTAATACAGTCATTCAACTTCACAGTTTGTATTAAATAATGATGGTTGGTTCGTTTACTTGAAAGCTTAGATTTGATTATCATAATTTGTTTTGATTACAGATTTTGAGGTTTTATTGTATCATTATTATTGACACCTTACAGATGTTGATGTACCTTTACCATTGCACACACTTTGTAAAATTTTATTCATCAAGTTTAAGAGTGTCTTCAACACTTGTTTATTTAATTATAAAGTAATCAGATATTGTTGTTTTTGACTATTAAAACTATTTGCCCGAGTAATGCTTAATTGAATTAATATAAAGTGGTTGAATAAAATAAATAAATATTCCTGAATGTTTTGTTAAAAAATATTAAATAATCATCAATATCTAATGATATGCATGGTTTCCGCTACATTCATTCTTCCATGGCGGGGCGCCACGATAAAATTCATCCCACCACGGCTACATTACAGCTTCTCAGTCAAAACATTTTATTTTTTTAATTGCGGGTAATAATCGCACCAAATTGTTTTAAAAGATGAGTGAATTATAACAGCGCAAACTTCTCTGTAACCGTAGTAGTGCTGTGCATTATTTTTTTACCCCGTTAAGGTTACGTGCTGACAGACTGACTGGCTGACTGACAGGTGCATGATGCGTGAGGCCAGCAAACACGACGTATAGCCGTTTCACTTTATTTCAGGATGCATTAATATTGCTCTGTAGGTCTATTCGAGACATTCATAAATATTCTTAGCAAATCTAATAAATGCTGGAGACATACTCGTTACATAAACGCACTAAATCGCACTTCAGCAGCATTTATTTGAGAGCGCACAAGAAGACCTGCACGCTCCCTCAAATAAAAAGGTTTGTGCACGAGCAGAGGAAATTGGCGCGCAAGCAAAGAGATCCGCATGCTGTAGGCTATAAATAAATGTGATCTCGACTTCTAATACTGCACTCACGACATTTGTCATTGAAATTCAATTCAATTCAATTCAGCTTTATTTGTATAGCGCTTTTACAATGTAGATTGTGTCAAAGCAGCTTCACATAAATGGTCATAGTAACTGGATCAGGGTAAAAAATAAAGCCACAGGTAGTTGGTAGATCTGTGTAAAAAAAAACAAAGGCCTGCCGCCACAGCTGGAAAAAATCCAGCACTGATATGAAACATGATATTATGATATTTTTTTTTGCAATATCACCCAGCCCTATAATAAATGTAGTCCTAGTTACTCCTTTCCCCAACTGTACTATAGCAAACATTTTTTTACGAGTGTCCTCTAAAATGTCCACAACTGATTTATTTGATATAGTAAAATTCCTTTATTTAGCAACTCAACTCCCTGACTTGTTCTTTACTGCTGTTTTATGATGACAGTTACTCCAAGTCACCCACTGTTGTTGCAAATACTGTAATAGTACAACGGCGAGTGCGTCAAGTAGGTGAAAGTATAAATCAGCTTTAGAGTCTTGCTTCATGTTAGTAGAAAACTTAGGGCACATATTGTGACAGTAGTACTTCTACATACATATTTGTATTATTCTTTGGGTCAGGAAAGCATTAGAATTTGCAGTACTTCCTCCTGTATTACTGAAAACTGTTAGCTTTATCACACGGGGGTATCAGCATCTATGCTTCCCATTCACTTTGAATGGGTGACGTCAGGTGTTGCCAAACTGCATTGTGGATCCATTAGCGCCAATTCAGTAGCGTTGCTCACTGCAGAAGTTAGGAACTTCAGCCAATCAGATGCTAATTACTATAGACTAGATTTTGTATGTGAAAACACACATGCAGTGACATGACCGCACCTTCACTTCCTGTCAAACTTACTCTGACAAAACAAACAAACAAAAATGTCTTGACTCACTTTTTTGGGCGAGAAGACACCGACTGTTCCTCCATCCTCTTTCACTGACACACCCATCTCAGCCAGCAGCGACTCCCTGAAATGTCACACACACACAAAGAGAGAGAGATATTTTGAGTATTTTACTCTAAAATGTTGATTTTTAAATGTTTTTGTTCCAATTTATTTGTATTTTTTATTTAATTAATTAATTTTTTAAACAAATAAATACATAGCTGAATATACGTACCTATTCATTATAAAACGTCTCATTTTAAAATATGCTCGACTAAAACTTTGAGGGATCCAAAATGTTGTAAAGACAAATTGAAAGTAATATTTATAAATTAAGTGGTCAACTTGCTTGCTTGACAGAAAGAAACATTTAAATAAGAAAATAGCACTATTTCACAAAGGGAGATGTCAGTTATAGCAAAAATTGAAAATAGATGCTGTTTACAGAATCATAAAACAAGATGAGAAGACTACATTTAAGTTTAGATTAATGCAGTGTAGATTTTAACTAATGAACACTGATGAATGCAGAAAGTATCGAATAATATTACAGTCTGGAAACTCCCAGACTGGCCAATCAAAATCCAGATTACCTGAGCATATGGGCAATTGTCTGTGTGTGTGTGTGTGTGTGTTCTTACCTGTCCTGACGTATTTCCTCAGTTTTCCTGAGTTTCTCCTCCCATGTTTCATTTAGCTCTGCAATGATCTTTTCAGTTTCCTATAAGAGGTACAGTTAGACAACTGTAGACTGGCATATTTTGTTTTTAAGCACACAAAAGCTTTTTTATTATTTAAAAAACAAAAAACTACATAAAAAAATACAGTTTTATTTATTAATTTTTATTTAATAATTGTTTAATGCCATTTCAGCATCAAAGACTATTCATGGCAAACTCAATGGTAATTTTTTTTTTTTTTTGGATATGTATAATTCAAATCAACTATTTACCAAAACAATACACAAAGTTGAGGGCAAAATTATTAGCCCTCCTTTGAAATATTTCTTTATTTTCAAATATTTCTCAAATAATGTTTAACAGAGCAAGGAGAATCACAGTATTTCCTATAATATTTTCTTTCTTCTGGAGAAAGTCTTATTTGTTTTATTTTGGCAAGAAAAAAAGCATAATATTAAAAAAAAACATTTTAAGGTCAATATTATTGACCTTAAATTGTTTACAATTGGCTAAAGAACAAATAATTGTTATACAATGACTTGTCTAATTACCCTAAATTAACCCAATTAACCTAGTCACTTTAAGCTCAATACTAGTATCTTGAAAATATCTAGTCAAATATTATGTACTGTCATCATGGCTAAGATCAAATAAATGAGTTATTAGAGATGAGTTAATAAACCTATTTTAGAAATGTTTAGAAATGTGTTGGGAAAAAAAATCTCTCCGTTAAACAGAAATTGGGGCAAAATGAACAGGAGGGCTAATAATTCTGACTTATAAACTATACATAAGCAAAAATAAAAACTTGGATTTGCTGAAATTGTGTATTGAAATAGCAACACCTTCAAATAGTAGAATACTCAGAATAATCAGTTTGGATTGGTGTTTTGTTAAGATTGTGTGCTGTGAGTGTGATGCTGTGTACCTTGAGTCTCTCAGCGGCCTCCTCTTTGCTGATTGGCTCAGAGGGACTGGTGGTTGTCACTCCTTCCATTGGTGCATCAGAGGTAGACTGGACATATGGCAGCGAGGGCTGATGGGGCTCTCCTAACACTCCTGCTAAAGCTGGATGGCCCGTTTCAGACCCTGACAGAAAAATCACAAAATTAGATACAGACAAAAAAAAAAATAAATAAATAATAAATAATCAGACACCAGATATAAACTTTAAAATAGATTTTGTTACTTGAGGGTGCAGGGCATAGTTCATTTAGGTAAGTGATGATAGCAAAAAAAAGTCAAGTGTTATATATTATTAAAACAGGGGACTAAAAATCAACATGAATCTATAAAAAATATATATTAAATAGATTATAAATGCCATTATAAATGTCATAAATGTTATGCATTTTTTACCTCAACTACAATGTTACAGGCTAAATTTGTCAATAAAATGACTTTAATATTAACGACCCTGCTAAAACTATTTGAGTAATGACTCTTAATGACCAATACCATTTCTTTTCTACTGAAAATGTGATCAGAAAAACACAATTATTATGCCTTATCATGACAATTATGTTTATGACAGATTTACGACAAGTTATATTGTCTTGATAATGTCAAGTTGTCCACAATATATCACGTGTTTATGTTAAGTTAACAAAAATAATGCCATCTCTGCATTTAAAAATGACAAAACTGAGCAAACGACACTTAATAACAGTTGTTATAAGCATGCATAAAATCTTAATCTGCACGTGTCATGTTATAATTATAAAGGTTTTATGACAGTCTTATGAACACCTCATCAGGTAAAGTATTACCAAGTTTTTATCTTTAAGTGTGTTTGTGTGTGTGTGTGTACCTGAGGCAGTAATAAGGTTGCTGAGTCCCTGAGACAGAAGCAGCTCCTTCAGTCTGTTCACCTCTTCTTTAAGCTCCCTGACAAGACGAGCGTTTGGATCCTCATTTATGACAGCGTTACACTTGATCTGCTTAGCTCTGTCTGCATACCTACAATGGGATACATAGTGAGCTTTTCCCCTAAAACAAGCAAAAATAATCTACCAACGATGTGAAAAATATATTCTTATAACTAGATTATTTTGCCTAGCTCATTGGCAGATTATTGGCAGAACTCACTTAATTTTGACTTATTATTTCTGAAAACCAGACATTATGTTTTGGTTGACTGGAAAATGCTTTATGATTTAGGAATTGTTATATATTTAGACTAGAAATAAGACATTTTTTGCAGTGTAAGATGACATTTTGGACACATTTAAAAAAAAATAATAATAATAATAATCACAGCTCTAATACATATTTTGACTAAAAGATCTTGTTTTGAAAAATAATAAACCTTGCATTTTTTCGAGAATTTTTCTAGACTTTTTTAATGTAATATTTTAACTAAAATACAATTACATCCATTTTTAATTTTTTAAACATACACTAGTTAAAGATGCACAAGAACAACAGTTCTTCAGGTAAGACATTAACATGAATCTGAACTTAATGGCATAGTTCACCCAAAAAGTAAAAGGACCTCATCGTTTACTCTCCCTTATATGGTTTTAAACCTTTATAAGTTTCTTTCTTCTGTTGATCCCATAGACTTTCACAGTAGGAAAAAAAATACTATGCAAGTCAATGAAGACCAGCTACCAGCATTTTCTACTATATTTTTATGTTGAGCAGAAGAAAAAATCTTAAATATGTTTTGAACCAGTGAAGGGTGAGTAAATTATGACAGAATTAGCATTATTTTAGGGGGTGAACTACCCCTTTATAAGGCTATGGAATCCACAGGGTCTAGGAGTGTATCAGTGTAACATCCGTAATCCGTACGGATCAGAAGGCACATAACTTGCAGATGAATAACTTAGTTTGAATATGCAGGTTAATCCAACATTTTTAACAATTGCAGAAAGATCGCCTCTCGTGTCATTCAAATCACGTGTATGAAAGCATTTTGGCTTCCCTGTAAAATATAACAATGACAGAAAAAGTTGTGGTGGGACCTAAATGCTTTTTTGGGCTAATAATTAAAGGTGTTTTCTGTTACTGTTTGTTTAGCCTGCATTAATGCATTCAGTGTAAAGCTGCACAATTAAACATTAAAAGATTACAATCTCAATTTAAACCTGCGCAACTTGAATGAAAAATTATGATGATTTGCATGGGTTTATTAATCCTTCAAATCTGTGTTTGATCAAGAGAGATTTAGTTTTTACACTTTTTAAGTTCGATACAAACAATTAAATAACACAGCAGTACTGAGGGAACATTTTATAGTTTAGATATAAACACTGATGTTTATGTTAAAGATTAAAATAACTGTTTAATGGAACTTGATGCTGGTGAATGTTGTAGCAAATACACTGTGTAACCAATAGGTGGCGACAAACAATCATCAAATTTATGTCACTGAATAGGTTTTCAAAAATGATCCACCTAAAATGAAGCATGAAGAATTATGTGTGAACTATTGAGTCATTTACTGAAAATAAATATGATCTGTTGTAGAAGACGTTAGATTTCTATAGTTAGCATTATCAGCAAGAGTAGCAAAGCTAATTTTTTGTATTGAATATTTTTCTTTTTTTTTTCAGCAGTTTTTTTCTTGATTTTTATAACAATTACATGTTATGTTTGCAGTAATATTTTTGCATAAATGGAAAGTATTTGACATTTGTTGCTCCCTTTTTTCTGATCCGAAAAATGGTCCAATCCATGACTCAAAAACTGCAGTGTGATCCGAACCGTGAGATTTGCGATCCATTACAAGACTAACAGGGACCCAGTAAATAGTATGTGCAGATTTAAAAAAAATAGTATGTATTTAGAAAAGAACTGTGGTGTGATTTTACCTGAGAGTACTGAGTGTTTCTTCATAATTGATATCTGCCGGGCTCAGAGCAGCGATCATGGCTGTGCGGGAGTTTCCACCTTCAGACACAAACACTCAAGCTCATCCAGGATCAGCATTAACAGTGATTTAAAAGGGACGACTTTATGCAAGATGTAAAATAAGTCTCTAATGTCCCTAGTTTGTGAAGTTTCAGCTCAAAATACCACACAAATAATGTTTTATAACTCTCTGAAACGGCCCCTTTTAGGTTTTGATCCTAACTGTGCAGTTTTGGTGACTGTCACATTAAATTCAAATGAGATTGCTCAGTTTCATTAAACATAAATGTCTTTGTGATTCTGCTTCAGCATCCGTCAGACTGTCCTTCATGGCACGAACAGATTTATAACACTGTATTATTTTTGTTTACAGCCAGAATGGGACAACAGACTTACCTAGATTTTCTCTCAATAACCACGTGAGCACAGAATCCCTGTAGGGAATGAAATCGGAGCGTCTCTTCTTTGAGCCGTGCTGTGGAGGAGAAACCTATTGTTATACGAGACAAAGAATTCAACATTTAAGACAAAACACTGAAAGACAAGTGGAGAGAAAGCGACGTAGATGAGAAATGAGTAGCAGAACTAAACTGCAGACAAACTTATAGTTCATATATAGCACAAACGCTAGCAGTAGCTCTTACCATGTCTGCCAACGCTGAGATGACTTTACCCAGTGTTGTCAGAGATTTGTTAATATTGGCTCCCTCCTATACAAAAGAAAGCAGTGCTTTTAGATTATCTGTTAATACTTTATACCAGTTAAAAGGTAAATTAACCCCAAATTCAACATTGTATTTAACCCAGCAGCATGCCTAGCATTATTAATTCAACTCATCAATAGAGCTGTCGAGAAAAATCCATTCTGTTTCGACTCAAAAGTAACCCGACTACATTCGCATAATATTGTGAATAATGTTCAATTTTATTAAGCGGACAGATTGTTTCATTTCACAAGACCTACGCGAGTCATCAGGAGGCACAGCTATTGATTTAGACTCATTGAAAGTGTTTATTGTTAATCTAAAAATCCTATCACCTTTGGCTGCCACTATATGAATCACCAAGGATCACGGGTTCAGCTCAAAATCTTCTTTAAAGGGCACCTATGGTGAAAAATCTACTTTTCAAGTTGTCTGGACAGACATGTGTATAAGTATAGTGTATAGAGCATTATATTGAGGTGAAATAAACAAACGCAGTCCTTTTTTTTCAATTTAACAACATAAAAACGGTGGACCAATTGGAACGGTTTTTAGATCGATCGCAACTTTACGTAGGAGTGCGATCCCCCCGCCCACCAATATTGATTGACAGGCGCGTGTCACCATATCCTCAGGTTGTCGTTTCACGTCCGCCGTTTTCAGCGTGTGTCACAGCGGTGTCGCTAGAGGAACACCCTTGCTCTATTTTTAGATGTAAGGCTCATTCGGGCTCAACACAAGATCAGCATTCGGTAGGTTTGCAAATGTGTACTTTTCATTGGTTTTGTTCTCCCCCGCTGCGGGACAACACAAACGGGCGCGGCGGGTAGAAAACAGGGCGAGTCGGGCAGCGGGACAACACATCCTGAATATAAGCGGGAGCGGTCGAATTCGGGCTAGAACCTGGCGGGATTCAATATTTAGTCCCACGCTGATCTCTACCAAAGTGCCATCTAAACATGCGAATGTCCGTGTCTGGTGTGCCGTGTCGCTCTTGGCTCCGCCCCCTTGATACGTTGGGCGGGAATTTCAAACTAATTTTCATGTGAAGCTACACGCCCCTAAAACAGCAAACTGTGTACACGCCCCCCAAATAACACTTTTGAACACATTATAATAAAAACATCTGAACTGTGTGTTGAACTGAACCTAAACTGGCACACTCAGAAGAACCATAATACTAATATTAAATCATAAAAAAGGGGTAAACAATGTGCCCTTTAAATGTTCTTCTGAATAATAAAAAAAAGTCACCTACATCTTGGCTGACCTGTGGGTGAGTAAATTAAAAGGAGATTTTATTTTTTGGGTGATCTATCTCTTTAAGATGCTAGACAAACTGATCTCCAGACAGCTCCTGTCAGACTCATTTTCGTCTAGTGTGAGCGGATCTAAAGGAATGTACCGCTTCAGCTCACAGTCAGACATCAACACATACCTAGAATGGGGATGGCTAAACGATGACAGTATTTGGTTTCAGTGTAAACTCTTTCTTTGTTTGACGCACCTTTAACCTCATGCCTTTGGCTCCAGATGAGTCTGCTCTCTCACTTCCAGCCAGATCAACCAGGCTGATCTTGCTCACCTGAGCAGCAGAAACCAGAGTGAGAAATGAAGAACAAAAAGCAGCGTTTTGTAAAAACAGAGTTACCACGCTTTCATGAACAGCAGGACAAACACTATTCATTTTAAATCAAGCAGATTTGTAATGCATACCCTAGCATATGCAGCATGAAAGTCCTTACTGTACTTCGCATTTCACTTACACTTAGTATTTACATTAAAAATCTCAGAGTAATTTTTAGACTGTTTAAAACAGTCTTGTTCCAAGAAAATTCTGAAACATTGATTAAATGTGCATCATTTGTCAGCGGTATTGTATAAAATTTTAATTTAGGACTTTTCATTCAAGAATTTCTCAATTTTTTTGTTCTGGTTTTGACAATTGAGTACAATTCTTGAAACAAAACCATGAAGAAATTAACTTTCAAATTTAATTTAAGCATTTTCAAGGACCGGTGTTTGTTTTTAAGTACTTTCTTAAGTTCTTTCTTTTCTTAAGTACAGATCTGAAATTAAAGTATTTTCAAGAAGCGTGGGAACCCTGTAAATAATCTCTCCTCACACACCTTCTCGGTGTCTAGGCTGGTCATGTGGTCGTGTCGGTGCTGGGTGAAGAGAATGGTGAAGACGGCATGAGAGCGACTGCTGGTCTCATTCATGTTTGTGGCAGCAACCGTCCTTAAAAAAATAAAAATAAATAAAATGTAAGAATGAGATTGAGAAAGTTTTGAGTTGTTTTTTGAACATAATAGCTTCTCTGACTATATTAAGGCAAAAATAAATAAATATAATAATAATACATAAAGTATACATATACACACACACACACACACACACACATTTACATAGTGTTTACTCTAGGATTTTGTTTTTTGACCATAATAGCTTCTCTGACTATATTAAGGCAAAAAAAAAAAAAAAAAAAAAAAAAAAATATATATATATATATATATATATATATATATATATATATATATATATATATATATATATATACATCCACACATACACATACAATATATACATATACATATTTACACATATATACACACACACACACACACACACACACACACACACACACACACACACACACACACACACACACACACACACACAGTGTTTTCTCTAGGATTTTGTCCAGCTGTGGCAGCAGGCCTTTTTTTTACACCAATCTACCAATTACCTGTGGCGTTATTTTAATGGCAAATGTCGTGAGCGCAGTATTACAAGTCGAGATCACATTTATGTAATAGCATACAGCATGCAAATCTCTTTGCTTGCATGCCAACTTCCTCTGCTTGTGCACATAACTTATTGCATGCCCTCATATATACGCCGCTCAAGCGCAGATCTTCTTGTGCGCTCTCAAATAAACACTGCTGAAGTGCGATTTAGCGCATTTATGTAACAAGCATGTCTCCAACATATATTAGATTTGCTAGGAATATTTATTAATGTCTCTAATAGACCTACAGAGCGGTATTAATGCTTTATTTATATCATTCATTTATTCACTCATTTATTTTTATTATATACTTATTTATATTAGTTCATTCAAATAATCCATGATTTTAATTATTTATTTGAATTATGCTAATTTTAGATATTTTATTTTTAAGTTAAACCAAACAAAAATTGTAGATTTCTCTGCAGAATTTTCTTTTGCATGTGTGTAATTTGCATTATTTAGCAGCTCTGTGTCAGCGTTGATTAATAGCTAGCAAGTACAGTATATAGTATACACCAGTGGTTCTCAACTGGTTTGGCCATGGGACCCACATTTTTACATGGTCATCAAGCCGCGACCCAAATTTTTAGGAACTGTAATACAACTTTAGGAATTATACTTAATTTGTATTTATTTGTTAACATAAACAAGTAATGACAGAAACATCATAAGAAATTCACCAAGACTTACAAATAAACACTATTTTATTGCTGTCATTTAACAAAATGGATCAAATTATAGAAATATTACAGAGTAAAAACGACAAATACTGTTGATAATAAATTGTTAATAAAACATGTTTTCTGGTTTCTAAATGTTGTTTTAATTTAGAAGGTTACATGCTCTCTTTTGAGAGCATCTCACTACACATGACACTGAGGCTTTAAGTTTTTTTTGTCGTCAATATATTTATCCATACTTCACATATTCGGGGTAGTACTTGTGCTTTAACATATTTGTTGCAATAATTAAATGAAACTTCACATGCCAAACGGTAGGGTTGTCGCGCACGCATTTCAAAATAAAAGTCCGGTATAAGCAAAATAAGTAAAAAATGTAACTTTTTTTTTGACCACATACTCCGCGACCCACTGATAATGTTCCCGCGACCCACTTTTGTGTCGCGACCCACCAGTTGAGAAACACTGGTATATACTATACAGCATACAATATACCTTGCTTTGTTGCCGGTGTCCATGAGATCTGCAATATCACTATAGTTGGTAACCGCCATTTTGGAGAGGTCTTCTACATATGGGCCCATGATAGGATGCTCTCTGACCCTTAAAGCGCCTTTGCTTTTTGGGTTTAGCAAGTCTCGAACCCGCTCACAGTAAATCTCCATATATGACACCTAAGAAACACACAATACAAAAAAGTTGGATTTCACAAAATGATTCATCACCTGAAGTCATGCATGTATTAATGAATGTCCAAAACAACTGGAACCAGCAACACACAGATGAACACAAACACACACCTCTACAGAGAAGGACAGGTCAGGGTCAGTGTTTTCTGCCGTCTGTCTGAACAAATCCTCACACATCTTTGAGAAAACACACAGTGAGAGAGATCATTATATACAGTTTTTCGTTACAATACACCGTTATATTCGTTATATACAGTTGAAATCAGAATTATTAGCCCCAATGAACTATTAGACTGCTTGTTTATTTTTTCCCAAATTCTGTTTAATGGAGAGCAGATTTTTTCAATACATTTCTAAATATAATAGTTTTGCTTACTCATTTCTAATAACTGATTTATTTTATCTTTGTCATGATGACAGTTAATAAAATTTTACTAGATATTTTTCTAGACACTTCTATACAGCTTAAAGTGACATTTAAAGGCTTAACTAGGTTAATTAGGTTAACTAGGCAGGTTAGGGTAATTAGGCAAGTTATTGTATACCAGTGATTTGTTCTGTAGATTATAGAGAATAAATATAGCTTTAATTTTGTCCATAAAATGGTGTTTAAAAAATTAAAAACTGCTTTTATTCTAGCTGAAATAAAACGAATAAGACTTTCTCCAGAAGAAAAAAATATTATCAGACATACTGTGAAAATTTCTTTGCTCTGTTATACATAATTTGGGCAATATTTAAAAAAGAAGGAAAAAATTTGAAGGGGGCTAATAATTCGGACTTTAACTGTACATTATTTTCTTGCGTTTTAGAATTAGAATGTGCGCATTCTGATTTATTTTTCCTAAAATTGACCACTATTATAGACGTTTTTCTTGGCTGCTGCATGGAAGCTGCCATAGCGATCAGTGCCTTCCCGTAGAATGGTTAGAACTTCCGATTACAGCGTTTACAATAGGTAATTTGCGCTCCAGAATATTGGTTTCAATAGCGTTTTTAATGGATTACAGAGTGTTTTTGTGACACACAACTTGTATGCTAAAGCCGTTATTATCTGTCAGATGGGGTTCAAGTGCGAGAGAAAAACGTTCTGCTAGTTCATGTATCTGCAGTCAGACATACACGCGCGAGCAATACTTCACTGCATTATAGGGCAAACCAGATTACTGGCATGAAACTCAAGAGGTATGCAAGTCATGCAATTTACAAAAATGACCAATAAAAGTGCGTTACTGATACTCTGCTGATTGATTTGCTGTTCATTGTAATCGCGAGCCGTTTGTTTCATTTAGTGTGTTGTTTTTACGACGGTGTGTGTTTTTCTGTCATTTCACAAAAATTAATAAATGAAATATTTTATTAGGTACAGATCATGATAAATGTACTAGACATATAGTGGCAAGTTCTGGAAAGCACAGTATTTTTTAGGGTCAACTTAATATTAATGTAATTTTTGTTGCAGTTTTTATCTGATGCTGGTTAATATCTTTACCTGTTGTAGCAGATTATCGTATTATAAGAGGTACACTTTAAGATAATCTTATTTTAAAAGGATTTTAATTTAAATACATATTTTATGCCCACATGTAGCAGTAATATATGCAAAAACATGATGCAAGAACATAATTCATTATTATCATTTCGTTATTGCAGTATGTTAAAACAAAACAAAATAAAAAAAGTAGTATTTTAGAACAATATGTAAAAACATCTCCCATTCCCCAACACAGCTTCTAAGTCCAATTCATTTTGCTGTGCAAATTATTTTAATTAGGCAAAAAATAGGTAAACAAAATACTAAGTGCACATTTAAAGCCTGGTTTGTATATCAACCCAAAACAATGATGTCATAGCGACATGGGTTGTCAAGTAGCCTCTAATTTACCCAGCGGTGTGCATGTCATCTTTTTGGGTGCTTCACACCTGTGGTTCAGTTCATTTGGTCCTAAACACATTGGTTCATTTGGACTAAAAGCACAATTTTTAATGTCATGTCCACACCTGCACTGGTGTTTTTATTAAGTTTTTCCCTCTTTTGTTTTTAAAAAATGCTTGTCCACACTGTGATGCATGTTATCGTTTGTGCACTGTTCAAATTTAGATTTTTAATCTTTATACCTGTGGAATAATGCCTTGCTGTCCTGGATCCTGTTTTCCCATCATTGTGTAAGATTTCCCTGCTCCCGTCTGTCCATAAGCGAAGATACACACATTATAACCCTCAAAAGCATGAAGCAGCATCTCCTCGCCGATGTCCTGATAAACCTTCCTCTGAGATGCAAAGGATGGGTCTTCTTCCTGAAAAACAGTGTGTTTTCAACTGTGTTGAGATGAATAGTCTTTAGACTTTGGCCTTTATATCTATTATACAAGGATATAGAGTCCATTATGGTTTGACTTTTTATCACAGTGAATATTTCGATAAATCTGCTTTAAATCGCTGTACAAAAAACAAAACTAGTGATACTGACAAGTTTATATAATTAACCGAGGTGTAGCTATTCTCATCCACAAATCGATTCCCTTTTCTGTCTCTGAGGTTATTTCGGATCCTAATGGGCATTTTATTATTCTGGAGGACAAATAAACGGAGCTTGCTTGGTTTTGGCTAATGGATATGGACCTAATTTCAGGGCTCGAAATTAACTTTTTTACTTGTTAGCACCGGTGCTCCCAACTTCAAATATTTAGGAGCACCAAAAATTTTTTAGGAGCACCAGAAAAAATTTAGGAGCACCCACCAAAAATAAATGAGCATCCCTGCAAATTGTTTTTTAATGGATTTATTGTATTTTAAAACAACATCAATAGGACTGACAAAAACCAGAAACAACTATCTAACTAATGCTGCGAAGACATTGATATTTGTGTGCAATAATTCCAAAATGAATGTCTAATAATTAAGCCATAGACTATTAATGATGATAAAAAATGACAATAATAGTAACAATGAATTCCATTTCTCATGATACTGCCTTGAATGTGCATGAATGTAGGTTATCTGCTATAAAAAGTCTGTTCCTTTATGAAAAATAATTGAATAGTTTGCATCAAACAAAAATGAAGCATTGCAGTAAGAAATATTGATTTTGTACTGCTGTTTTTATATGCATGTCAATTGAATAAATAATATTTCTGCAACAAAACAAACAAAAGATTATAATAAATCTTTGCAGCTTTCATCATTTAATTGAATGCAGTCATCAGTAAATAAATATAAAAATAATATACACCTCAAAAAAGAATAGACAAAAGAAAGTAAGTAAAGTCTCACTTCTATCACTCTTTAAAAGTTTTGGTTTCAGTTTGTGTCAATTTAAATGTTCAGTCTGAGCTGATCTTCATTTTTCTGTGTTAGTGGAAAAGCAGGCGAGTCAGCCGACCCAATTTATGAGCAGGCAGCGCAAGATTCTTGCGCTAACCATCGGCGCAATACCGGTCTTTGTTATGAGCCGCAGTTTCAGTGTAAACTTAGTAAAGGCGAGCTTCTTTGGCGATGATATGTACAGTATTAGATTAGACTTTTAGCGGACATTTGCGCTGAACACGCAGTCAATGCAACGCATGGAGATTCGGGCGCCTTCTCCAAGAAGCGTTTACTCGATTGATCTCAGCTGGCAGATCATTACTCACCACGTGACGTGTCATGATCGCTTTCATCTGCGCCTCAACTTTAGGTGGGGTTTGCACTTTGCAAACCTGTGCGCTTTAAGTTTTTACTCTTCAGCCGTTTGCATTTCCCGTGGTCATAAAAGCTCCTTCCCTGTCATCTGACAGCGCAATACCTTGAGTGAATGACAGCTAATATGAACCAATATAGAGGCAGGGAAGAGCGATTCAGCACGTTTTTACAAAAAAAATCAAAACAGGTCGCACTACAACCATTATCTGCAGTCGCACTAATGCGCCCAAATATATTATGAGGTCGCATAGATAAATTTTCGGGCGCATATGCGACCAAAATGGTCGCAATTTCGAGCCCTGTAATTAGGATGATGATGCATTTTTCAAAAAAATTTAGTTTTCCCTCCCTGATTTACATTCAAACCAACTAATTCCAGGTGGAGATTTTAATTGTTGTTTAGACCCTCTTCTAGACCGCTCATCGTCCAGACTCTGTGCACAGTCTAAATCTAGTAGGATCATTCAGCTTTCTATGGAGCAATATGCCGTTTCTGATGTTTGGCGCTTTTTAAATCCGAATACAAAAAAATTCTCGTTCTTTTCTCCTGTCCATCACTCTTTTTCCCGTATAGATTATTTTTTGGTTGATAATAATTTGCTTCCATTGATTAGTTCATGTGTTTGTAATACTATTGTAATTTCAGATCATGCCGCTGTTACATTTGATCTGGCTCTTCCAGGCTTTTTAATGTCTAGGCCACCTTGGCGTTTTAACTCCTTACTACTAAATCCTGAGTTTATTGCAGTTATTAATGATCGTATTGATCTATTTATCTCTACAAATCTCTCTGCATGCAAGGCTTACTTAAGGGGAGAAATTATCTCATAAGCAGCATACAAGAAAAAAGTAATGAAGTTTTTATAATTGAAGCATTTCCAACATGAAATATTCAGAGACTTACCGAGCTGTGTGACCAATATGAATAGTCAAAGGTGAAGTTCTTGGGTGATTCCTTGGGCTGTTTGGGATTAGTAATACCTATAAAACATATACATAATTAAATACACTAATTTAGCATTGGTAATGGTCATGTAATAAAATTATTTATGTAAAACAATTATATTTTCATTGTTTTCAAAGTAAAATTAAGAGTCTTAAGTCTTAAAATAATCAGAATAATTTGATTATTTATAAGATGAACTATATACACTCATTAAATATGAATGTTAATTGTGAGAAGTGCTTTACAAATGAAAAAAACCTTATTGCTTTACAAACACTGATTGTGTCATTGATTTATTTGTGCAATACTTGTTTACCCCATTCATTGGATGTTTTGCATCCATATGAAATGTGTCTATGGATACATCATAAATTATGCAGACTCTCGTCCAAGTCTTGTCAACTCAGTGCTGTCTAGCCATCATAATGATCTTGGAAAGACTCCAGCTCTGCAAACACTTCTCTTCCCTGTCAGACACACTACTGTCAGTAGCTTTAGAATGACCTTTGACACCATATCCCCACCAGGCCCTCTCCGCAACAAAAACTCATAGAAAACTGAAATGTCACACCACACAAAACATCTTATACAAAACGTACACTTTTAAAGTACACTTATTGTTACAGTGTCACTGATAACAAGCAGTGACTTTATTGGGTAAACTATTATAGTGATAAAAAGACAACTATTACAGAAAATAAAGAGTTTGTGCATGTTTTATGGCTTTTTAATTTCTTGACTTCTAAAAGATATTTATAAGGTCTTAATAAAAAAAAAAAGACTCAATTTAAAGCAGGGGTTTCCAAACTTGGTCCTGGAGTGAAGGTGTCCTGCATAGTTTAGCTCCAACTTCCCTTAATACACCTGCCTGGTGTTCTAGTATAACTAGAAGGAGCTTGATTAGCTGGTTCAGGTGTGTTTAATTGGGGTTGGAACTAAAATACGCAGGACAGGGGCCGTCCAGGACCAAGTTTGGACACCCCTGATTTAAAGGGACGTAAAATGTAAATGTGTTTCTAAATGTAAAAGTCTAGGGACAAACTCTTGAACAGCCTTGTGATGTTGTGAAAATGTTGTGATGCAACGTTTAATACCATGGTGTGCAACATTTCTGCTCTGATTTATGACCGCCTGATGGCTTTAATTACTACAATGATGCAAAAGTGAGAAAGATCACCACAGTCAGAAGAGCAAAAAAATAAAAAAATTAAAAGTTTATAACAACAGAATCTTGGCCTTGGGCACCAGGGGACATTTCAGCAGGACAATACCCAAAACACACAGGAAATGGCAAAAAATAATAATGTTTTGCAGAGTCCTGACTTATATCCGATTGAGAATCTGTAGAGAAAGCTAAAGATAAGGATAATAACAAGGATAAGGATATATTTCACAAGGATTCTGACACAACAACGTGAAGCAGACACTTTACAAAAGTTGCACGTAAGGGGGAAACACGTCAAACTTAATGAAACATTTGAGGGCGCATGGAATCAACTTAAAGGCATGGGAATGCATGGTGTCTGACAGCTTGCGACATCATCTGGCACTTACATTGAGTACATTTACACAGACACCAATACTACGATTTTGGTATGATTAAGACAATACTCTGAGAGTCTACCATGTAAACAGTGAATTTTGATTACTTTGAAGGACCACCCGAGTCACGAAATGCGGAGGTTTTTTGTTTCCATTTGGCATGCGGTATCAAATTCGAATAAAACATCAGCTTGGTGATGCGACATTAATTGTTTTATACTGAAACCTTCCTTCTAAAAGTGCTTCCTTGGTCTTATCCATTTTTCTTTGCATGTTGAACACATATCAGCCACAACAGGAAATAAAAGTTTGGAAACAGCACAATTCTGATACAGTAAGTGTCTTTCTTTTTAAACTGAGTTCGATGTACACTAATATTAGAATGTGTAAAAGTGAAACTCGTGAGCAGAGTCATTAAAAGGAAGCCAGAGGGTGGAGAAGGGCCCCGCAGAATAAAGCACTGCTGGGTAACAATAGAGCACTGCTGCCTTGAGCTCAAACAGCCCTGTGTTTGTGTTGGAGGGGGGTCAAACCAAACAGACTGCCAGCCCCGCAGATTCTTTAGATAGAGAGAAAGAGACAGAGAGAGAGACTCTACATGACTCAGAGAAACTTTGCTATATACTCAGAGAGGATGACATGGCAGCCAAACCAAACCAGCAGCATATACAAACACTTCTTTCTGGTTCTTGAATCTGATTGGCTGAATGCCCAACAATATTCTAGAAGTATCAGCACTGTTAAAGCATCTTCACATGTGTATCGTATTTTGGTGGAAAAATAAACTACAGTATTATTAGTTTTATAGTTTTTTATGTCTTTTGTCTCATTTATTGTATCCTTTATTAGTTTGATGAAAATAGATCCTGTATTTGACTGAAATGCCAGGCCAATGAAAAAACTTAGTATTCTGTTTAAATCAAAGCCCAATCTTTCAATAAAGTATATAAATACATCAATAAAACATAACGAGAAAGAGGCAGAGGAATACAGAAGAGTAAGGCGAATACAGCTGCAGGTTGGAGTGGAGACGCTGTAAGAGGAAGACGGGAATGTGAGGTCTGGCAGTCAGTAGTGCAAACGGCAGGATTTTACAGTGGTTTAGAGCTGTGGTTTGAGAGGCGTGTTTTCAAACTCTCAGAATTTCCCCCTCTTTCAACGTGTGGGTGGAGATGGAGGTATTTTTGGACATTACCATGGAAAAGTTCATGGAGACAAACTAGCAAAAGTGTGGAGTGAGATTTAACACATTACAAAAGCTCAAACTCTGCTGGATCTTTTGATCTTTTTGAGCTGAATGCAATGACTAAACTTGATTGCCAAGCTCTTGTGTATTTGGTAGACTACACAAATATCTGTGAATTTCATATTTTGTAATTTGTGTATTTCTTTTTTCATTTTATTTATGCTTTTGAATTGCATTATTGGGAGATTGACTTTTTCCTTAAACAACTTTTAATCTTGAAAAACGTGACTTTTATTGAATTTTTAATAGTTTGGATATTATATATTGTCAGAACTTGGTGTTGTGGTACCTTTTCTGGTATTTAAATTCAGCTAATTTAATTCTATATAAATTATTTCATATACAGTATATTGTTTTAAACAACTAAAATGTCAATAATAACCACTTTGTTAAATTGCAGAGTTTTCAAGATCCCATAATGCATATGCATTATTACATGGATATACTGTTATTATAGAGTATTGTATAATGCATAAGCGTAAAACAGTAACTTTCTTAATAATCAATGTCTTATGAAGTAGTGTTTGTGGAGTATAACAATATTCACTTCAGTTGTGAATTAATAAACAAAGACAATATATTGCAATAAACATATTTATATGTATACATTTCAAAATAAAAGTCAATGGGTTCATTTTTTTCCACTTGTTTATAATTAAACATGCTTTTTTCCATTTCTTTTTTACTGTTATCTTGGTTACACAACACAGAGTACCTGCATTTCTGGAAGGAAAGACTAAGAACATTCTTTAACACATTATTCAATTTAAAGATTAAATACTAGAGTGCTTGTTTAATAAATATTATAAATACAATTTATATCAGCTATTTAAAAGCCTTTTAATAGTCTAATGCAGGGGTGTCAAACTCAATTCCTGGAGGGCCGAAGCCCTGCACAGTTTACCTACAGGTAAGTGTTTGAAGCCCAACACACTTACCTGTAGGTTTCAAACAAGCCTGAAGGACTCAATTAGTTTGATCAGGTGTGTTTAATTAGGGTTGGAACTAATGTGCAGAGCTGCGGCCCTTTTGGAACTGAGTTTGACACCTGTGGTCTAATATTTGCGTATGTAATTACATAATTTAGTAATGCAGTAAATAGGGTTGCACGGTTTACCAGGTACTATAGTAGTATTGCGACACTATGGCTCTAAAATACTGCACAAATGCTTCCAAATATATTTTAAGGTTGCATAGATATAATTTTGGCCGCATATAAGATGAAAACAGTCGAGCCCTAGCATCTTTACTAAGTATTATTTCCTCATAATAATAATAATAAAATAAGGAAGTTATCATCAATTGCAATAAAAAATACAGTGAACTCTAAACGAAGTCTCCAACACCAGCTGGGTGGGAAAAGCCATTAGAACAACACAGATCACTGCCGATTCATGCCAGAGTACCACGGGAAAAAGTGATGACAGGTAGTAATTTGTGTGTAACTTTTATGGTTTGGCTATGGTTAAAGCAAAGACCATGTTGGTCAGGTAGCGAAAACGGTAGGCTACAATTAATTAATTAGTTATGAATTAACTGATATTTAACAACGACCCTCACCCCCTGCCTATGACGACGATGCCATCGTCCATCGCAATGTTTCACATTAAGGCTGATTTATACTTCTGCGTCAAACGCACGCGTATGCTACGACGTTGACGCATAGCCCTACGCCGTTGGCGTCGCTGACGTGCACATCTAAAAAAATGTAATTACATGTTGCAACGACGCATAGCGCAAGCTCTGTGATTGGTCGGCTTGGTAGTGCTGACGAGTCTGGGCGGGACGGAGAGCCGCGCAAATAACGCGACCCTGATGAAGCGTTTGTTTACAATTGTGGAGTCCAATGAAGGAGCTCCCGATGGAAAGTTTTGTTTTGTGTTTACCTCATAGTTAAAGTTGTTGCACGTCCGCCGGTTCCTGCCCCAAAATGAGCGAGTTTGAGCCACTTGTACATCCCGGAAGTGTTCAGGAAAAGCAAAACACCAGCGAAGAAACTCGACACAGAGGAATATTTACACCTCACTGCCAACTAGTGTTTCGGAAGTGCTATTGCAGACCAACGGAGACAGCGCGCAGAAGTATAAATGCACAGCTACGCGCGTTGCATGCACCGTGGGTTACGCCGGTCATTTGGGGCAGAAGTATAAACCAGGCTTTAGACATCGTACGATGCCAAATTGGTCACCATTGCCCAACCCTAGTAAATACTATAGTGTGTTTTTAACCATACTCACTCAGACACCTCCAATAGAGATAGAGATGTTGCACAATCAGCTAAAATGTTGTTGGTTTTTATGTATGGGCGATAAATATTGCAAAATGATTGAGGTCATGTCTATGTTTTATGCGATAAGTCCATATATTGATTATTGTGAGAGGCCTAGCTAGCATCAAGTGAGGCAGGTAATACAAACACACTGACTTCAAATTTCCATAGAACGTGCACTAGTTTTGTGCAAAACAAATGACGTGCAGTTCTTCATATGAAAAAAAAAGTTTATAAACAAACCAGCAAGCTGATGCATGTTCACTTATACAGGTTTCTTTTGTGATAACTCACAATTCACACACAAAAAAGTCAAGCACCTCTGTGAACTACAGTGATTAAAACGTGTGGAATTTGTGCGTTCACATGAAAGGAATGTTCTTTTAGCAGACGAAGATAAGGCAGAGTTCAAGTTCTCATCTAACTGTATCCAAGCACAACGCAGACAAAATAATGAAGGTAATTACAGTATACAGTGCTCAGCATAATCGAGTTCACCCCATTTTGAAAATATTTTGATCCATTTCTCAGTGAATAAAGGCAACGTATTTGGGTGCATTAAAACAAAACAGATTTATTAAACCGATATATTTAATAAAATAAAATTTTAGTCACCAAACATATTTAGAAATTGAAAGATAGCAATTAAACTCAAGCTAAATATTGCAAAAATAAACTACAGCCTATAAAATTTTTCCTTTTTATCTTTTTTTTTTGGCTTCTCTTGATTTTTTCTTCTTATTTCATATTTGTATTTAATATTTTTCTCTAACATATAGTTTTGGGTGCACTAGTTTTGGAGCGGTATCGTAGGTTATTTTGTTAGATAAGCATCAGATTTGGCTTTAGTACTGACTAATCTAATGTATATGCACAAATATAAGATTGTATGGCTTCCTATTAAAAATATGAAATTAAGAGAGATTTGTGAGGGGCGTATTTATATATGCTGAGAATTGTACCATTTACATGGATACACATTAATAAAATGGGAATGGTTGGTGATATCAACGTCCTGTTTGTGGCACATTGGTATATGTGAGGGGGCAAACTTTTCATGATGGGTGGTGACCATGGTGGCCATTTTGAAGTCGGCAATCTTGGATCCAACCTTTTTTTTTTCCCAATAGGAAGAGGGTCAGTTGACACATTGGGAATTTCACAAGAAAAACAATGGTGTGCTTGGTTTTAACTTAGAACTTTATTTATACTTTTAGTACGATCTTTACATAAATTATATATTTTTAATTGCTAATAAAATTTCATTTTGCAAATTATTTATATTGTAAAAAATATTGTTAATTCTAATTTCTAATTCAAAATTTCAGTTTTGTTTGGCATTTTATCTGTCATACACAGTATGATATGCAGTGGGATGCTTACACAACTGCGTGTGACCTTAAAACAACAAAGAGAATCTAAATTAGAGAAATAAAAGTTGTGCAATAAAAAAAAAATGCAAATATAAACTATAGTTGTAGAAAAAAAAGAAACACTCAATAATATCGTATATTTTCTGAGTATCTTGCAGCCATAGAAGGTATAATATTAAAGACAAGTGTGTTTGTGTGTGTGTGTGTTTGAACTGAACTCACAGGTGCTCTTGTCCTGCATCTGGATCACACACTTGGCTCCTCTGTTTGTCTCTCGGCTGTTGAAAGGCCGCACTCGCACAGCTACTTTCACTGAGGACGACGCCATGATCACCAACTACTCAACACCTGGAGGACAAGAGGAAAGAAACTCATCATATGGACATAAATAACATCCTTACATTCATGAACAGGGTATTTCTCAGAATGTTATGTACTTTCCACTTATGTTGTTATGTAATGTCCAAGTACTAAAGAATTTAGGTTTCTGGAATGCATTCAGAAATTGTGCTTGATACAACAAACATTTCTGCCACATGACTGAGGGGTAAAGATTGGCATGTCCTTACATTACTGTCTGATTATCCGTATTATTCTCCTCTGAAGGCCATTCAAATGTTATGATATATTTTCATTCATTCATTCATATTTCTTTCGGCTTAGCCCCTTTATTCATCAGGGGTCCCTACAGCGGAATGAACCGCCAACTTATCCAGCATCCTTTAAACACTACAGCCAATTTAGTTTATTCAATTCACCTATAGTGAATGACTTGAGGAAACTCATGCCAACACGGGGAGAACATACAAACTCAAGACAGAAATGCCAACTGACCTAGCCGGGAACCGAACCAGCGACCTTCTTGCTGTGAGGTAACAGTGCAAACCACTGCGCCACCGTGCCACCAGGCGCTGTTGATTTTCACTGTGACAACAACCACTATGTTTTTTTAGGCTGCGTGCACTTTCACATTATTCCCCAATTCCTCTGCACTCCATATGCCACTACTTGTTCCCGACCGGATTACAAGGTGTCTTCTGGGTCCGGAAGGGAGTCTGGCCGGCAGCCAAAGAGCCGTGTACACTTGTCAGTTCAAGAGAAATAATCACACACATACACACCTCAAGACATTACAACCTCAACTACAACAAAAACAAGGAACACCCACTGATACTATAAAAGATGATCATTAGCCTTACAACGGATGCAATAAAACACATAAAACAAGCTAACCACTGAAGGAAGCAATGCTTATTCTGCCAATACCACACAAAAACCGGTCACACTTGCTACTGTTATTGTACAACAACATTAGACCAGTAATCAAATTGATGTAAAACCAGTAGGCATGGGCCAGTATAACATTCTTGATATGCTAACCTTGGATAAAATTATCATGGTTTCGTGGTATTGTGATTACAGCTCTAAAAGATCTTCTTTTTAAATGTCTGGGTAAAAAAAAATTATAAAAATAAATAAATAAATAAATAAAAACGTTTTTCCCTTTTGAGCACAATAAATTTTAATTTGAGTAGCATTTAAAATATTTTGAAACAGTAAACATGCCAGGCGAAATGAATACGAGACTTTTATTTTTACAATTTAAAACGGTATCTTGGGATATTTTTTCTGCTGAAGATACTGTTGTCCAAAAAAAAAAAAAAAAGTAAATAAAAAAAGTCATACACATACCTTAGGAACGGTATTGCAGAAAATTATGACTGTTTTAAAACCTTGAGTTTTCCAAACTGCTGTATACTTTGAAAACGGTTATCGTCCCATGCCTAGAAACCAGCGAATTAAGGAACTATACCTGAGACCATAACCAATATAGCACATCTAACTGTACAATTAATCAAATGATATTAATCCAACACTCAGGTCAAAACTGAAATATTTAATCCCATTTTATTCATTACAGATTATTTCCATGCAGACCGAAAATTAAACAGGAAAATCAAGCAAACGTTGCAAACTTGCATTGTTAGCTTCAATTTCCATGTCAATTTTGCAAAAATCATAAGCAATGAAAATGTAAAGACAAAAACATTGTTGACATCAATTCAGTGTTGAATTAAATTAGTTCAATAACAGTAACGCAAGTCATAATTTTGTGAGGCATGACATTTCTAAAAGCTGTTCCACCAATAATTCACCTGTGCTGCTGCTTTCCAAAACCTTCACCATCTCTGCTCCACTCTGGTGGATTTAGCTGGATACAATCACATGTCAATAAGCAGCTGAAGGCAAATTCCTTTTTTAAAAAAATGTGTACAGATACATGGTTTATAACAAGCACTGCTAAATACGTATCAAAATAAGAAGTCAATTTTGATTTCAAGGCAAATTTAAGTCATTACAAAATTTGGTATTAAAATTATTACGTTTAGAAATGTGTTAAACATTAACATTAAAATACTAAAGAACACAAATAAATTTATTATGGCAAATTACAATTATTATTATTAAAAGTACTTCTATTGTTAATATATATTGTATATAATGTATATAATATATAATGTATATTGTTAATGTTTCACCAATAATTTTCCTGTGCTGCTGCTTTTCAAAACCTTTACCGCCTCTGCTCCGCTCTGGTAGATTGAGCCGGATACATTTACATTTGTCAATAAGCAGTTGAAGGCAAATTCTTTTTTAAGAAAATGTGTACAGATATATGGTTTATAACAAGCACTGCTATATACATATCAAAATAAGAAATGTTTAAAATGCACTTACATTAAAATTAAAACAATAAAGAATACAAATAAATTTATTATGGTAAAGTACTTCTATTGTTAATATATATTGTATATAATGTATATATTATATAATGTATATTGTTAATGTTCCACCAATAATTCTCCTGTGCTGCTGCTTTCCAAAACCTTTGCCGCCTCTGCTCCCCTCTGGTAGATTGAGCCGGATACATTTACATATGCCAATAAGCAGATGAAGGCAAATTCCTTTTTTTCATGAAGAAAAAATAAATAAAATAAATAAATAAGTGTACAGATACATGGTTTATAACAAGCACTGCTATATACATATCAAAATAAGAAGAGTCAATTTTGATTTCAAGGCAAATTTGAGTCATTAGAATTTGGTATTAAAACTGTTCCGTTTAGAAATATCTTAAACAAAAATCTTTCAGCTAATAATTCTGACTTCAATATATATATATATAATATGTTTAAAATGCACTTACATTAACATCAAATCAATAAAGAACACAAATAAATTTATTATGGTAAATTACAATTATTATTATTAAAAGTACTTCTATTGTTAATATATATTGTATATAATGTATATATTATATAATGTATATTGTTAATGTTCCACCAATAATTATCCTGTGCTGCTGCTTTCCAAAACCTTTACCGCCTCTGCTCTGCTCTGGTAGATTGAGCCGCATACATTAACATATGCCAATAAGCAGTTGAAGGTAAATTTCCTTTTTTCACGAAAAAAAAAAAAAAAAAAGTGTACAGATACATGGATTATAACAAGCACTGCTATATACGCATCAAATAAGAAGTGTCAAGTTTTATTCCAAGGGAAATTTAAGTCATAAGAAATTTGAAATTAAAACTTACATTTAGAAATGTGTTAAAAAAAAAAATCCGTTAATAATTTTGACTTCAAGTTATATATATATATCTATATATTATGTTTCAAATGCACCTACATTAACATTAAAACAATAAAGAATACAAATAAACTAATAATAATACAATTTTTATAATAAAAATAAATGTACATCTACAGTGAATTACAATTATTAGTAAACATACTTCTACTGTTAATGTATCATGCATCCATATATTTTTTAACCAACATTTGTTCTCTCCTGGGAGTAGTGTAAATGAACATGTATGTAAACCATTGTAAACACATTCCAGTGTATTTCAGGCCTCAGCAGCTTGGTATGAGGGGACAGTATGGGCTAGTCAGCAATGCACCCTCAGGGATTGTGTGTGTGTGTGTGTGTGTGTGTGTGTGTGTGTGTGTGCCTTCAGTAGCATGTACAAGTTTGAATACCCATAAACAAAAGCTATTTGTTAATACCGTACTCTGAATAAAAGAAGTTTACGCACACAG